CATCAGGAGGTATGAGGTATGCTGGGTGGGAGGGGGAGACGGCTCAGTGGGTAAAATGCTTGCTAAGTCTAAGGACCTTCATTCACACCCCTAACTTGTGTAAAAGAAAGACAATTTGTGCAGTTTCAGTGTTCGTACTGAGAAGTGGGAGTCAGACACAGGAGAATCCCCAGAAGCATGAGGTCCAGCTAGCCAAGCATATGCAACAACAAACAAGAGACCCCAGAAAGAGAAAGGTAAAAAGACAAGTACCCAAGGTACTCTGACCACTCAAATGTGCACGCACATCCAAAGGTTTTACACACACACACACACACACCACACACATATATAAAACACAACACATCACAGATCATACACACACATCTCACACACACATCACACACTCACATCTCACACACACATACACACATTTCACACACACACATACATACATACACACTCACGTACACATCATACACACATCACAGAGAGAGAGAGAGAGAGAGAGAGAGAGAGAGAGAGAGAAACTAAAAAACAAACAACAAGAAGACTTTCTTAATGTTCACATAGTGATAACATCCATGGCAAAGAAAGAGTTACAGTTATAAAACTCATTTCCATCCTTGACCCCTTTATAATCAAAAAGAGCCACAGCGGCTAAGATGTTTGCATTGGAAAACACCCTCTACAACTCCACTGAATTAAATGAAATGTTCATCCTACTGCTGGCTTCAGCTCTCCTGTCTTTTACCAACAGCATCCACAACCAGCTGAACAGTCTCACATTTTCCCAAAGGAACCAGTCCCTACTGGGACACTGCTTTCCCACCTCTGGGGGGCTCCCTTCCTTCCTCCCCTTCGCCCAGTGGGAAGGCAACTCCACATTTTCCTACATAAACCTTTTAGATGAAGAGCTGGCAAGCCTTGCTCTTTTTGTTAAAGAAGATGTTGATTCTAAGCACACTTGCCACTTACTCAAGACTTTTTTTTTTTTTTAACTTTGGTACTTTATCAAAATTTTCTCCAGTTCACACACAACAGCCCTGAAATTTTTGAAGATTTAATTTCATGGCTGAGTGATCCAGTATATTCATCACTGAAGGACTAAACTAGGACTTGTTTGTTTTCCTTGTTTCCTTGTGAGATAAAATGAAAGCCCTTAATTCCAACCTCAGGGCCACCGAGACCATCTTCCACATAAAATCAAATTCTGAAGACCTTTGGTAGCAGATTAGCCCTGATTCTGTTGGATATTCTGATCGCCAAGAGTATACATTTCAAAAAGATCGACTAAAGTCCACATAGATATGAGGAGAATTTTCCTTAAGTAATTTTTTGTGTATACAAAATGTCATGCAAACCATGTTTTGAGGCTAGCCTTGGGTGCTGTCTTAATTAGGATTCCCATGAAGAGAGACTATGACCATGGAAACTCTTATAAAGGAAGGTATTTAATTAGGACTGGCTTGCAGTTCAGAGATTTAGTCCATTATTATCACAGTGGAAGTATGGCAGGCAGACATGGTTGAGTGTCTAAAACCTCAAAGCCCACTCATGGTGACACTTCTTCCAGTATAGCCACATCTCTCCAACATGGCCACACCTCCTTCAACATGGCCACACTTCCTAATAATGCCATTCTCTATGGGCCTATGGGGCTACAGCTACATACCAAGACAGCCTCAAAGCCAATAAAATGTCATGGAAAAATTAAGCTCACCAATATACTTTTAAAACACAATTTGTAGGGATTGTAGCTTCAAAATTAAGTGTTTTGATAATATTTTTGGTCCATTTTATGAGGGAGAATATAATAAAACCAGTAATATTCTTTTCAGAAAGTTCTAGACCACTATGTAGAAAGTTTTCCAATTTAGTTGTATGTGTGTGTATACATGTGCATGAATGTGTATGTGATATGTGTGTGTTGTATGTGTGCATATGCTTCTGTGTATATGTATCTATTGTGGTGTGTATATGTGGTGTGTGGGGGAACAAGGGCCACACTTGCATGTTGAGGTCAAAGGACAACTCTGTATTGTCTTCTTCCACCTTTTTCTAGGTTCCAGAGATGTAACTCCAGTAATCAGGCATGCATCATCAGGCCTCAAGGATCTTTAACTGCTAAGTGACCCACTGACCCTGTTTCTTGTGCTCTTCTGAGTCTGTTAAGTGCTTCAGATAGACATGTTAGACGTACCTAGAGTTCCTGGGATGGCCGCAGTATCGTTGCACTTCCGTGAGTGTGGAAACAATAGTGCCAATGCCCACGGCATCCATCTCTAGGTTGTTGAAAAGACAATTGAAATAATCCGGATTGCAAAACTGTAGTAATACAGAGCTTATGTGCACCAGAGGAGACGCCATGTCAGAAACCAGTATAACTGTGAATTCCATTTACTTTTAGTTTTATCCCTTAGCTTCTAGAGTCATTTGGATTTTCACTTTCAGGTTGGGGTTTTTTTTCCTAACTTTTTATTGGTTCTTTGTGAGTTTCACATCATGTACCCCAATTCCGCTCATCTCTCCCTCCCCTCATATCTACCCTCCACCCTCTCAACCGCCCCTAAAACAGAAAAAAAAAATCTTATTGTGGAATCTGTAGTGTGTCACAGTGTGTCCCACAGTGTACTTTTTTTGTCTACACCTCTTTGCTTGCAAATGTCTGTACAAGAGGCTTCTGCTACTCTGTCAATACTGGAATCTCACTAGGACTCCTCTTGGATATCTTGTTGTTGCCATGTTGTTGTGTCATGGAGATCCTGTAGTGTTGGATCTGTAGGACTGGCCCGTTCATAAACTCCAGCAGTTCATAGATGTTGGGGTGAGCCAATTCAAAGCTCTGGATCTGGGCCTTAGAGGAGTCTGAACTAACCAGCCCATTGGGCCTCCTGCTCTCATGCCTTCAAGCACACCCTCCTTCCCCATCCCCCAACAATCAGGGCCCGCTCAATCCTGCTACTCAAGTGAGGTATAGGCTCTGTTCTCCCAAGTGCTGCAGCTGCCAAGGGATATGGCCAGTTCTCCCATTCTCAAGACCCTGGGGCCAGTTCTCTGGCCTCCCATAGATGTTGAGGGATGAGGGAGGGAAGGGGGGTATCTCTCCCTCTGCACCACCATACAGCAGCCAAGAGGCAGGGCCAGCTCTCCTGTGCTCATGCCCTCAGGCTTGCTCACCTGTAACCCCCATGTCCAGAGCTAGCTTTACTGTGCTGCCTAGTCAAAGTGTAGAACACATTCTCCAAAGTGCTGCAGTGGGTGAGGGTCGGGGCCAGCTCTCCTGCTCTGATAACCTTGTGCCAGCTTCCTCCCTGCTGTAGGTGACAAGGGCAAGAGAGGGGTATCTCTCACTTGCCCACACCACCACATGGCTGACAAGTGACAGTGTAGGGCCAGCTGTCTAAAGCTGATACCCTTGTGGTCAGTTCACCCATGACTCCACCATCAAGGTAACTTCTGATGCGCAGGTGAGGTGCAGGGCCTGCTCTCCTGAGTGCTGCCGCAGATGAGGGAAGGGACAGCTCTCCTGCTGTAATTATCCCAGGACCAGGTCTCTCACCTGCCACAGATAGTGAGGGGCAAGAGTGGAGGAGGGTATTTCTCACTTGTCCATGCCATCATAGGGAAGATGATTGACTGGGCCAGCTCTCCCACACTTATATCCTTACCTGAGATTTCTGAAATTTTGGGGGCCTCTCTCCAATACTGCAGCTGGGTGGGGGTGGAGTCAGCTCTCATGCTTCCCCAGGGCCAGGTCTCCTATGATACCCAGGTGAGGGGTGGGGCCAGTTCTGCACAGCCCTCAGACATCAACATGGTCCCAAGCAGCAGCCCAGACCAGAGATGTCCACCTAGCCATTGGTGGTAACAGACCCCTGCTGCTTCAGGACCATAGACTCAGACATGGCTCCTGATGGCAGCACAGGCCAGGTCCCAACTGTGGTCCCAGGTGGCACCAGTTACTCACATCAGCTGTTCCCCGATATCCTCAAGTCTCCAGTTCTGCCTCTCTTCATTGTGCCCACATCCTTCTGTTTCTCCTTCTCTTCCATTCCTCCACCACTTACTTGCCTCCCTTAGAGGTACCTGGGGTCTCTGAGTGTCTAGGTTGTCTCAGGAGTGCTATGCCCCATTCATACATTACGACACCAGTCAAGAGTCATCTCAGGCGTGGCCTGCCTGCCTCCTAAGGCCTGTGTAGTGCCGCACTGGTGTTCATCACAGGCTAGCCCTGTCCGTCTCCCATGATGCTGGTCTGGTGGTTGGCTCAGCTCACTCCTCACTCAGCCACCCAAGTGTCCCTATGCAAGAGTAGTCTGTCTCGAGCTCACTCCTGCCTGTCCCAGGCAGGGTTCTTCTAGTCTCCAGTTAGCTTCCTCCACTGGGAGCTGTGGGGAAAATTTGCAGGCCACAGCAGTGGGGTCCCAGTGGGTTTCCACGCTACAGCAGGTCCCACATGCAGGAGGAACGTCTATGGTTCCAGCGGCCTGGAGACTTTGGCAGTGGCAGGCCCCAGTGACACGAGGAAGTCCTTGGTTCCAAAAGTTTTATTGTCAAGGTGGATGGTGGGTGGATCTAGACGTACCCCCGTAAAACTCAGAGCAGTCCCGAGTTATATAGGGAGGGAGAAAGAGGGAGGATTGGGGGAAGATATGTGGAGGATATGGGGAAGCATGCTTAATTTGTTCCACCCTCTGGCCTTCATTAGTATGTAAATCCCTAGGCCCTGAGGCCTCTAGTCACACCCTTTAACTGTGCACTTTGGGAGGGTCTGTAATGGCCGGCCTACGTGACTGAGTTTTATGGAGACTGGACTGTTTTTCAGGACCCTGGATTCTGGGGGTGTGCCGAACTCCTGCTGGTTCTCACACAGAGTCTCGGGGTTCTAGGCACCTGCCCAGCCATGAACCAGAATACCATTTCGCAGTCTCACAGGAGCCTGTCTGGGCCTGTGGGATTTTGGGTTCATTTTGGGATCATATCAGGCTAGTTCCTGGTCTGGCCTCCTGGTGATTGTCTCAGGCTTGCTATTTTTCATTCCAATGTTCACAGTTGGAACACTGGGCATAGACTTAGCTTCTCTCCTCTCTGCCACCTACTGACACACGTGTGACACCGCAGCCAGACCTGCAATGCTTCTGGGGCAGCAGATTAGTTTTTTGTTTCTTTGTTTGCTTGTTTTAATACAATTAATATGCTAAATATTTACTGGTAAAAGCTTTGTGAACACTTCAAATTTTTAATCAAATAAAACATTTCTGTGGGGGAAATTTTTTCCAGACATTCAGAATAGGTACAATGAATGTATCCTATAAGTGGATTCAGATCTGGTTTTGCCACCAGGTGAGTTTTTGGCAACCTTTTTGTTTGGGGGTTTGGGGACTTCAGAATTGTGAATGAGATACGGGCCTGTGCAGCACCTTGAGAAATTCGAGAGCTTTAGTGTTGGTGCCATACTGGAGTCAAATGGAACAACCAGATGCTGGATGTTCAAAATCCTTCTGAGTTAGCCATGTTCAGAGACGCAAAACAGTTATGCTCCTCTGAGACAACACATTCTGATATTAATATAATGAAGGATCCATGAGAAATTTGACTTATAGCTACAGATCTATAGGGGGAAGTGATATGGACTTACCACACACTATCTCTTAGGAACCAAGAAGAAGTACAGGCCCAGGTACCAAAGGAACTTGAAAGAGCTGCATACAGAGACATGCTTTCTGTCATCTTCAGTCAAGCCATGAAGAGTAATTATGTGAATATGTGATCACACAGATCACAGGTCCCTGAATCTTAACCAACCAGAATGGGTAATTGGATTTTTCTGAAGGGACAGGAAGCCGTTGGAAGCCACAGCACAGACATCCCTTGAATGCACGAGATAGAACAATGAAGTCTTTAAGCTTTATGCCACATTGTTTCGAATCTTTTTGTGTTAAAAAGTATTTAGGTGGTCATTCCTAATCTCTTTGATTGTGGATCTCTCTGGGCCAATGGTATTCAGCAGTTTCGACAGACACTGCTTCCCCGTCAAAGAAACCACAGTGGATGTATGAGGGACAGAAACATTTACCCTTAACTTGCCTGCTTAATGGTGACAAGCACCACAAGGACAAGATAGATCAAGAAAACCACTAGAAAAGGGGCAAACATGGGCATACAATGTGAGGAAGAGGAGCTTCAGGGACAAGATAGCAGCAAGGGAAGAGGCTCAGAATGGGATGGGACACATCAAAGACAGGCACCACCTTTCAGAACTTCCTTTCAGTAGCTCATTGAGTCTCCCAGCTCAAACAGGGCCCTAGAGTGACAGCGATGGTGGACTTCTTTGAGACCTGCTATGAGACAGGTGCTTAGAGGCCAAGAAGCCTGGATCAGGCCATGGCTCAAGTCCAGGTTAGGAGTGGGCCTTACATAGACCATGAGCACTACCTGATCGAGAAGGCTCCCATGTCTGCAGCATGCATTGCAACAGCATTGCCAGATAGAGGAAAATCTGAGCATCTGTAGGAAGTCAAGGCAGCAGAGAAAGGGTGTGCACTGCTACTTTGAATCTTTGCATCAGTTCTGACTGTTGGGGACTATTCGTAGTTGTCTAGTACTCAGCCCTGGGTGGGTAGAACATGGTGTAAACTCCTGGTTGGTTGGTCCGCATATTAAAGACAAACCGGAGTCAAGGGGAGGTGTGAGGTTCTTCTGAAGAACAATCCTGGGAGAGATGTTCCCTCTAAGGTCACAAGGGTCCCAGATGTCAAAGCTTTGGAAACAGAGAATTACAATGCATGCTGAGGCACAAAGTCAAAGACAATGGCAAGTTTAGAGCAGGGGATATGGTTCAAACAGACAGAGTGAGACAGTGTTTGCACATTCCAAAGAAGAATCAGAGATTCTGGAGGGTAGGAATAATACTGCCCTGGTTCACATCCCAGCACCCAGGAAAGCACTTGGAAGGAAAAGAGGGCATTTCCTGATGAGAGACTGTAGGGAAGACAGAGAGGGTTCTGTTTGTGTGGCAGACAGGCAGCCATGCAGCATCACAGAAGCTGTGGATTCAAACCTGAAGACAATGCAGAGGACACAGAGCAGATGAAGTAATTGTGAAGGAGACAAGCAAGCTGAACTGTGCACTGGCCTGTCAACTGGCTCACCGGAAGGCTAGCCACAGGGCGCCAGCAGGTACCTCCTTCCTAGGCCCCCACTATTGTTTATCTCAGTGAATATCAAATGTGCCACACACCACCAAACTTTGGAAGTGTGCTCTGATTGCCTTGGAATCGAAGACTGTCTCAGCTTTCTGAATGCTTCAGGTGTAAAGAATGTGAATTAAATAAAGGATTCCCGCCAAGGCTAGTTGTCTAGCAGCCTTAGTGAAGGCTGCCGTTTCAAAGTTGAGTGACTTAAAAGAAATAGATTTCTCATCACTAGGAGGCCAGAAGTTATTATCAAGTTGTGGACAGACTGGCTTCCTCCTAAATCCTTTGTCTGGCTTGACACCCTGAGGTCTTGTCCCTGCCTTTGCTTGTTCTGCCCTCTGCTCATATCTGTGTCCAAATGCCCTCTTGTTATATGGACATCAGTATTACTGATTTAGAGTATGCCCCCCATAACCTCATTTATTCTATCTCTGTAAAAACTCTTATCTCCATATAGAGCCATACTGGGAGGTATTGGGTGTAAAGACTCCCTGTATAAATTTGGAGCTATGGTTCAGTCTATAATACTCTTGGGAAATAGAGAATATGAGCCAGCGTTGGCCTTATTAAAATTAAAAGGAAAGGCCACATTGACAGTGTGGAGCTCAGTCAGGAACAGTCTCAATTCCTGTACTCAGCCCCACTAAAGCAGGGGCATAGTCCAAATTTGGGTTGTTTTGCTGCCACCACAATGTTGGACACAGCACGTAGAAATTGGACCTGATTAAGCTGTACACAGCTGTATTGGCCTTTCTTGGCCTTTGGACCTTTCTAAGCCTGAATTTATTCACAGTGGGTTTAATGAAAATGGTCCACATAGGCCCATAGGGAGTGTCGTTTGAAATGATTAGGACATAAGGCTTTGTTGGAGTAAGTATGTCACCAGGGATGGGCTTTGAGGTTTCAGAGGCTCAAGACAGGCCCAGTGACTTAACTTTCTCCTCCTGCTACCTGCCAAGGTATAGAACTCTCAGCTATCTCTCCAGCACGTGTCTGCCTGCATGCCACCTTGCTTCCTCCCATGATGATAATGGACTAAACCTTTGACTGTGAGTCCCCAATTAAATGCTCTCCTTTCTAAGAGTTGCTGTGGTCATGGTGTCTCTCCACAGAAAAAGAACATTAGCTCAGACACTGCTCTACTGCATTTTGGAGCTATCGCCTTCCAACTGAAGAATATTATTTAAAAATACAAGCCTGTCTGCAACTGAGCTGTCCTGGTCATAATAAGTAGGAAAGACTGTCCTCCAAATCACTGCACAAGGCTCAGTGCTCACTTGTCAAGCATGCATGAGACCCTAGGTCTAGTCCTTTGTACTCTGCAGCCCCACCCACAGCACCTAGATGAGCCCTCAGTCCCAACTATTTCTGTAAAGCACCAGAAAAGAAGGTAAAAAGGATGCCCCCCCCAAGCACATATGGTGGGAGGCCTTAGTAAGCAGGAAATGGTGAAGGCATGTGCAGGGGTTACACTGGCTGCTATATGTGAGCCTACAGATAGTATTGGACCACACAGACATAAATAAAAAGCATCGATATGAGGGGCAAGGACAGTAATGGCTCAGTAATTGTGATGCTTTGTATATGCTCTGCCCAGGGAGTGGCAGTATTAGATGGGGCCCTGTTGGAGCAGGTGTGTCATTGTGGGTGTGGGCGATAAAACCCTTATCCTAACTGCCTGGAAGTCAGTATTCTGCTAGCAGCCTTCAGAAAATGTAGAACTCTCAGTTCCTCCTGCACCATCCCTGCCTGGATGCTGCCATGTTCCCTCCTTGATGATAATAGACTGAACCTGTGAACCTGTAAGCCAACCCCAATTAAATGTTGTCCTTATAAGAACTGCCTTGGTTGGGCTGGTGAGATGGCTAAGCAGTTAAGAGCACTCACTGCTCCTCTGGAGGTAATGAGTTCAAATCCCAGTAACCACATGGTGGCTCACAACCATCCATAATGAGACCTGATGCCCTCTTATGGGGTGTCTGAAGACAGCTACAGTGTACTTACATATAATAAATAAATAAAAACCTTAAAAAAAAAAGAATTGCCTCGGTCACGGTGTCTGTTCACATCAGTAAAACCCTACTACAGTAATTAAGAGCACTAGCTGCTCTTCCGGAGGACCTTGGTTCAGTTCCCACATGGTAGCACATAACTGTCTGTAACTCTAGTTCCAGGAGATCTGGTGCCCTCTTCAGGTCTCCATGGACACCAGGGACATGTGAAGTGTATAGGTAAAGCACTCACACATATAAAATAAAATGAAATTTAAAAAAAATAAGTGAGGGGGCAGCATAGCATCACGGCTTCAGAGACGTCTCATGCACCCTAAGCACATGTCTCATCAAGGCAGACCTGCTGGACCCCACAGCTCCTAAGCAGTGGGTCAGCATCAGGAGGACTGTTTCCTGGTAAAAGACAACCGAGTTCATCTCGATTCTTATGATGTAAAAATATGTTCTGCACTCAAGCTCTTAGCTGCATTCGTGTGCACATAGACACACCTGGCTAACAATCCTGTCAAGAAAGATTGTTTCCATTTTTATTGTAAGGGACATGTAGGCATGCCAAAGTCAAGTTCTGTTTAACATAAAATAATTTTAGAACAAAGAATTCTTTTTGTTGCTGCTTCCTAGAGACAAACTCTCCCTGATGTTCACTGTTATCTATAATCCTTGAAGATTTCCCTAGTTTTGTTGTTATTTGTTTATTCAGTACTAGATGGAACTCAAGCCTTGTTTGTGCTGTATCAATTCTTGGCCCCCGAGCCACACCTGCAGCTCAAGATTGTCTTATTCTGTTGCTGAAGCTGTTATTTAAAGTCATTTCTTCCTCTTAAAGAAACCAGAATTTGGGAACATCTGTTTCTGGTTGGCTCCCACTGGAAGGTTGAATATTAAGTGTCCTGGAAGGTCAGATTGCTATCAGACATGGATGCTGGCCATGGACACAGAC